TGTTTCACTCGGTGACTCTAGCGAAATAAAACCTGTCCAGATTTTGAGAGATACTGGTGCTGCACAGACGTTATTGTTAGAGGGCGTGCTTCCTTTGTCTGAGCAGACTTCTACTGGTGGGTCAGTTTTATTACAGGGTGTGGAGCTAGGCGTCATTGATGTTCCCCTGCATAGAATTAGTTTGAAGTCAGATTTAGTTACTGGACCTGTTATCGTAGGTGTTCGACCTACTCTTCCCGTTCCAGGCATTTCTTTGTTGCTAGGCAACGATTTAGCTGGTGGAAAAGTTGTACCAGATCCTATAGTTTGTGAGAAAATCACCCCAGATGTCATGTGCGATGATGAAGATGATGACATTCTTCCAGCCTGTGCTGTTACTAGAGCGATGGCCAGAAGACGAGAAATGGAGGCAGACCATACTCAAGCCTTTGACGAAACGAATTCCTCTGTTGATATTGATTTGAATGACACTTTCTTATCTGACCTTGATGGCACTCAAACCAACATGGAACCACACAATATGAAGAATCAAGAGAAGAAAGAACTTTTACCAAAATTTGGTGGTGAGGATGATGAGTTGCATCCACTAGTTAGCCAAGGCAAGGACATCCTCAGCCGAGAACGTTTACTCTCTGAACAACATAAAGACCCAGATATCATTCAACTTAGTAAGAGGGCACTTCCACCAGAAGAGGCTACTAAAGTTGGAGAATGCTTCTATATGAAAGATGGCATCCTTATGCGAAAATGGCGACCACCTGACGCTTCCCCAGATGAAGTGTGGCGTGTTGTTCACCAGATAGTGGTCCCACCTGCTTATCGTCGAGATGTCATGAGTTTAGCTCACGATACACCTATGGCTGGTCATTTAGGTATCAATAAGACTTATAATAGGATTTTGAGTCATTTTTATTGGCCTAAGCTAAGGAAGGATGTTTCTGAGTTTTGTAAGTCGTGTCATGTCTGTCAGATGGTAGGTAAACCGAATCAGAAGATACCATCCGCCCCTCTCCAACCAATTCCAGCTTTTGAAGAACCGTTTAGTCGAGTGTTGGTGGATTGTGTAGGACCTTTGCCTAGGACCAGATCTGGAAACCAGTATTTACTTACCATTATGTGTACATCCACTCGGTTTCCTGAAGCCATACCTCTTAGGAATATAAAGGCAAAGAGCATAGTTAAGGCCCTAACCAAGTTTTTCAGTTTGTAGGAGCACCCAAGGCAATTCAGTCGGATCAAGGCTCAAATTTTATGTCGGGGTTGTTCCAGCAAGTCATGCATGAGTTGGGTATTAGGCAGTATAGATCAACTGCTTATCATCCTGAGTCCCAGGGAGCGCTAGAACGTTTTCATCAAACCCTAAAAACAATGCTGAAGACCTATTGTTACCAGTATGAGAAAGACTGGGATGAAGGGGTTCATCTTGTACTATTTGCTGCACGAGAAGCAGTCCAGGAGTCTCTTGGGTTCAGTCCTTTTGAATTGGTGTTCGGTCATACAGTTAGAGGTCCTTTGAAATTGTTGAAGGAAAAGTGGCTGACTGAGACTAGTGATCTTAATCTTTTAGATTATGTGTCTGATTTCAAAGAAAAACTTTACAATGCTTGTAAATTAGCACAAGAAAATTTGAAGAGTTCTCAGATGAAAATGAAAATGTGGTATGACAAAGATGCCAGAAATAGGGTGTTTAAGCCAGGTGATAAGGTTCTTGTATTTTTACCTATTCCTGGTCATCCTTTACAGGCCAAATTTTATGGCCCTTATGAAATTGAAAGCAAGATCAGTGATGTAAACTATGTGGTTAAGACACCAGGTCGACGTAAAGAGAAACGGGTTTGTCACATTAACATGTTAAAAGAGTATTTTGAAAGGTGTGACCGAAATTCTGTAAAACCAGTTTCCACTTTAGCCAACGCTAAGACTGTTCAAAATTGTATTGAGAGTGATACGAGTGTAGAGATGAATGAGAAAGATTGTAATCAGAGTGTCTGCTTGAAAAACTCAGAAATTTTGGCTGATTTTGATGCCAAACTTGGACATTTGAACATTCACCAAAAAGAACAAGTTAAAAACTTGATGAATGAGTACCATCAAATCTTCTCGGATGTTCCAAAGAAAACTAATGCAGCTTGTCATGATGTTATAGTTGGCGACGCTCTGCCTATCAAACAACATCCGTACCGTCTCAATCCAATAAAATTGCAGTACCTAAGAAGGGAAGTGCAGTACATGTTGGACAATGACATTGTTGAACCTAGTAAAAGTGATTGGAGCTCACCGTGTATTCTTGTACCAAAACAGGACGGTTCGTACCGATTATGTACAGACTTTAGAAAGGTGAATTCTGTTACCAAAACTGATTCATATCCAATACCTAGAATTGATGACTGTATTGACAGCATTGGAAACGCCAAATTTGTCAGTAAATTTGACCTGTTGAAAGGCTACTGGCAAGTGCCGTTAACAGAAAGAGCAAAAGAAATATCTGCTTTTGCTACACCAGATGGACTTTATCAGTATAAAGTAATGCCTTTTGGCATGAAAAACGCACCGGCTACATTCCAAAGGATGATTCACTCCCTTCTTCAAGACCTTGAGGGATGCGAGGCCAACATTGATGATGTCGTCATATACAGCGACACATGGGACGAACATCTCCGAATCATGCGTGCTTTATTTGACATTTTAGCTAAAGCAAACTTAACTGTGAACCTTGAGAAGAGCGAATTTTGTCATGCCTATGTAGAGTATTTAGGTCATAAAGTAGGTCAAGGTTATGTTACACCCATTATGGCTAAAGTGGAAGCTATTGCAAAGTTCCCGATTCCTACAAACAAGAAAGAGTTAATGAGGTTTTTGGGCATGGCTGGGTTTTACAGAAAATTTTGTCCAAATTTTTCCTCAGTACTTAGTCCACTTACAAATCTTTTGCAGAAGAGGGTTAAGTTTGAATGGACAAAGGACTGTGAAAAATCCTTTCATAAAATCAAATCTGTCCTTATGAGCAACCCAGTTCTGTCAACTCCAGATTTTTCTAAGCAATTTAAGCTTACTGTTGATGCTAGTGATGTTGGAATCGGGGCAGCTTTGTTTCAAGAACATAGTGATAATGTAGATAGAGTTGTTTCTTATTTTTCAAAGAAACTTACAAAATGTCAACACAAGTATTCCACCATTGAAAAGGAATGCCTTGCTTTGTTGTTAGCCTTACAGCATTTTGATGTTTATCTGAATGTTACATTGCATCCAATTCTTGTGTATACTGATCACAACCCCCTGACATTTTTGCATAAATTGTCAAACAAAAATCAAAGACTGACTAGATGGAGTTTGTTGTTACAAGAATACAACATAACAATTAAGCATATCAAAGGCAAAGACAATGTTATTGCAGATGCCTTGTCCAGAGTATCGTGAACATATATGATTTTGTATTAATGTACATATATTTCATTTTAACAATATAAGTTTTCATTGACATTCAAACTTTTTAAGGGGGGAGGTGTTGTGAGGTGTGTTGTATTTGTATTATTTCATCATGTATATTATTAGTAACATTAAGTTTCTTGAACATTCCAGAGTGGTCAACATGTTCGGTCATTTTTCTAGAACATTCTTGAACTTTGTGCATGTCCAGAACTTTCCAGTAATATCATGTATTTACAATTTCTAGAATATTCTAGATTTATATTACTGTATAAATACCCTGTCAATTCGATGCAGAGATAGAATTGTCGTATAAGCATCATTGAGGTATTACTGGGATATAATTTCACTGGGACATTGTGTGCAGCAACGGACACTCTGATGTATGTATTTTTAGATTTTTGCTAAGTTTGTACTTAATGATCTGTATATTACTGTAAATAAATTATTGTTAAGTTTAAATTGTGTTATTGATCTTTGCTGGCATTTAGGGTTATTCTGACCCATAACAGAATATCCAAACAATTTGTTGTAAATTTTGCAAACAAAGACATTTTATTGACCATAGTCTTTGCAAAATACTGACTTTAAAACAGACTGTCAAAAAACCCAGTAACATCAATTCATTTGACAGTAGCCTGCTATGATAAAAAAGTTGATCCTACACAGAAAATGCTCTTGTGTGCCAATAGGTTGGGAGACATGAGCACAAAGTGCTGAGTATATCTGGAAATTTTTGCTGTAGATAAATTTTTAGTGAGTTCATTGCATTCGCAAAAATATTTTTCTTAAAAATAAATTGCCAATAAGAAAATGTAAACAAAACAGTGGTCATTCGCAAAATTTTGAAACACGAAACAAAAAAATTAATCAACAGCATTTTGAACTGAATTCACAAAATAAAATCAATGTAAAAAATTCCAGATTTACGATATTCATTATTAGAATATTAATGAGGAAAGATGATGAATCAGTGAATTTAACATTGGTAAATAGTAACAATTTCTACCTGAAGTATTCACAAACATTTTATAAATATATTTTAGCCACCACTTTTCCAAAAATAATGCACATTAAACAGGACTAAAAAAAGAAAAATCTAACAAATGACATTTCTATTGAATTGGATTCACAAATTCAGAGAATGGTATATAGTAGTTGGTAAAAGATATAATGTACCTATAGCATTTTTTTTTTATTTTGTAGTCTACAGTGGGGTCAATATGATCCAAACCTATACTTGGAGACTATACTACATAGAAATACTTTATACTATATAGACTTACTTTGGCAAAACGAAGCTTGCAATTTGATGCTCGGGATGTCATTCTAGGTGACTACACTCTACAGACTTACTTTTGTGTGATGTAGCCGGCCGTTTGTTGCTCAGGATGTTATACTTGGTGACTACAGTATATAGACTTACTTTTGCGAGATATAGCCGTCCGTTTGATGCTCAGGTTGTCATTCTTGGTGACTACACTATATATACACTTGCTTTGGAGAGATGGATGTAGCTGCCCATATGCTGCTCAAGTTGTCACTCTTGGTGACTACACTATATATAGACTTACTTTGGCGAGATGTAGCCGGCCGTTTGATGCTCGGGTTGTCAGAAGCATATGATTGGTGAAGAGGAAAACCTGACATATCACCTCCTTCTCCTTCCGATCTTTGATGGGCCACAAACTGGACTTACTCTTCTCATTAAAGACTTGAATAAGGGGACCTGTATAAAAAACGTACAATATGAAAACAAATCAAACTGTATCAATCAATATAAGATGTCCTATCCAATTGCTTGTCCCTTTTTTGTAGGTAACTGACATTGACATTCACAAAAGTTCAATGACTGACAGAAGAGTGGCATTAAGTGGTGTCTCTTGGGCATGTGCAAAGGATATTGGGAATAGGCCTGCCACCTAGTGGTCACCTTTGACCTAATGGCCATTCTTTACTGAGCATAATTGTCTCCCCTTTTTGTCTGTGCACTCTCTAAATTCCTGATGTGTTAGATATGTTAGGAATAGATCTTCATGATCAATATAATGAGATTTTCCAATACTTGGTTTGTGTGAGGATAAATCTGTCTCATGATTGTGAAGCACACAGCAGACTCTACATAAAATCAATAGTGTTAAATCTTAATTGGGATGGCCTTGTTTGTGGTTCGGCTACAGCCTATTTGTAGTAAAGAGCTAGGCAAGATCACCAGTCAAGCATCAACAAATCGGCAATTCTACCAATTCTATCATAGAGCTCTGACTACAAAAATCCTGATGCAACATCTCACCTGTGTTAATGAATCAAACTGAGCAATATATAGCATTGATCTAATAACCTTTCCGGAAGAACAAAACTCAGCATATTGCTCAATCTCCATGTACCTGGTCTGTAGGGTTTTTGTTTACACAAGTACTTTTATTCATCTGTCTTGTATTCATCTCTCAACAACATAATAAATCATAAGTCTAGAATAATTTGAAAGACATGTCTTGAATTCAACATTAACCCAACAATAAACTTCATTACAGGAAATGGGCTTACAGATGAAATAATGTTAATCTTACCAGGAACCAAAATAAAAGGAAGCTTTGATTAAAAAAACTGTAGTATTATATAAGCACTTAATTGTGAAACACCTGGTGCAAAAAAAGCCATTTTCTCATTTTTTTTCTCTGGCCTGAAAACACAATGAAAATGAAGTATTTATGCAATAAAACAGTACGTACCATGGCCGAGTTGAAATTTTTATGACAAAATCCACTGTTTATAACAACGCACATATATCAAATAATTAACATGGTTTAGTCCATTTTACACCACAGGTAAATAAATAATACAAACCTTAAATGTACAACACACAAAAAAGACAAATGTAAGGTACAGCAGAGGGAATTATTAAACAAGCGATCAGATCCTGTCACCTCTGAGATATATCTCACGTAACTCGACTGGTATCCCTTGATGAGCAATGGTCACTGCATCTCAGCCTACTGTTTGTAATCACTGCTATAACTGACTGGTGGGTGTATGTATAAACAGATCAATACTTTTTTCCAATATAACATTCAAAAGGATGAACAGCTAGGGTTTCCCTGAGGAAATTGATTACATGGCAGGAGACATGCTGAACTACAATAGACAATTTACAAATGTGAATCTCCTGACCCAAGCAGTGGACTAAATATGAATCTCCTGACCCAAAAAGTGGACTTGATGTGAATCTTCTGACCTAAACAGTGGACTTAATGTAAATCTCCTGACCCAAACAGTGGATTAATGTGAATCTCCTGACCCAAACAATGGACTCATTGTGAATCTTCTGACCCAAACAGTAGACTTAATGTGAATCCCCTGGCCCAAAAAGTGGACTTAATGTGAATCTCCTGACTCAAACAGTGGACTCAATGTGAATCTCCTGACCCAAACAGTGGACTTGATGTGAATCTCCTGACCCAAACAGTGGACTCAATGTGAATCTCCTGACCCAAACAGTGGACTGAATATGAATCACCTGACCCAAAAAGTGGACTTAATGTGAATCCCCATACCCAAAAAGTGGACTTAATGTGATTCTCCAAACCCAAACAGTGGACTCAATGTGAATCTCCTGACCCAAACATTGGAGTTCATATGAATCTCCTGACCCAAACAGTGGACTCAATGTGAATCTCCTGACCCAAACATTGGAGTTCATGTGAATCTCCTGACCCAAACAGTGGACTCAATGTGAATCTCCTGACCCAAACAGTGGACTCAATGTGAATCTCCTGACCTAAAGAGTGGACCTAATGTGAATCTCCTGACCCAAACATTGGAGTTCATGTGAATCTCCTGACCCAAACAGTGGGCTCAATGTGAATCTCCTGACCTAAACAGTGCACCTAATGTGAATCTCCTGACCCAAACATTGGAGTTCATGTGAATCTCCTGACCCAAACAGTGGACTCAATGTGAATCTCCTGACCAAAACAGTGGACCAAATGTGAATCTCCTGACCCAAACATTGGAGTTCATGTGAATCTCCTGACCCAAACCTTGGACTAACTCTGAATCTCATGACCCAATCAGTGGACTCAATGTGAATCTCCTGACCCAAACAGTGGACTCAATGTGAATCTCCTGATCCAAACAATGGACTTAATGTGAATCTCCTGACCCAAACAGTGGACTCAATGTTAATCTCCTGACCCAAATATTGGACTAAATATGAATCTCCTGAACCAAACAGTGGACTCAATGTGAATCTCCTGACCCAAACATTGGAATCAATGTGAATCTCCTGACCCAAACAGTGGACTCAGTGTGAATCTCCTGACCCAAACAGTGGACTGAATATGAATCCCCTGACCCAAAAAGTGGACTTAATGTGAATCCCCTAACCCAAAAAGTGGACTTAATGTGAATCTCCTAACCCAAACAGTGGACTTAATGTGAATCTCGAGACCTAAACAGAACACTTAATATGTGAATCTTCTGACCCTAACAACGCACTGAATATGAATCTCCTGACCCAAACACTGCACTAAATGTGGATCTCCTGACCCTAACAATAAACTGAATGTGAATCTTCTGACCCAAACACTGCACTGAATGTGAATCTCTTGACCCAAACATCTCAATCAATGTGAATCTCCTGTTCCAAACAGTGGACTAAATAAACTGATGGTTTTACTGTGTCGACATTGATCATTGTGTCTGTGAAATTTTCCAACAACTCTTGTATCATAATACACAAATTTCAGAAGCTTTTTATACACAGAATTTCTGTTCAAAAGAAAATTTTCAAACAGCTTTCCAATACTGTATATCACTTTTATTTACAAGGACTTTATTTTCACGTAATTCAGTGAGGCAGTTTGCTCAAGAAAATACCATTCTTGTGTATACAGATTATATTATTTTGTAATTTTTTAATTTGTAACAAAAAATTCTCTTATAAGAAGTAAATGGTCTATCTTGCTAAAATAAGAAGAGGGAAAATTGAGTAATCTACAGTATTTCAGTGTTCCTCAACATAAAGTCAAAAAGAAGACAATCACCTGAATATCATATAATGAGGATTCACTTATTTTTCCTATTCTAAAGCACATATTTTTTCCCCTCAACCAAACCCTTTTACGTCTTAATTAAATTGAATGCCCCCTCTCCCCCCTTGGGAAGCCACCATCATCCTTCATTAAAGTTAAATCCTTCAGCAGTGATGATATTTGATCACTTGACCAACCTATATTTACAGGTTTGCCTCAGCAGATGTGTAAGAAGGATACCCTTTTCCTTAAAGATTAACTAAAAGATGGCATACTCTAAAACCTGGCCTGGCCCCTTTGGCCTGGCCTGGCCTCTAAGTTGGCATGGCCTCTATTTTGGCCTCTAATTTGGCTTCAAACCAAATTTTGGCCTGGCCTCAAATTTGGCCTCTGTAAAAATTTTTGGCCTCAATTTTTGCCTCACTCAAAAATATTTTCTTTTTCTGAATTTGATTGATTTTATTGATTTTTTACTGGTTTCATTTTTTTCACGATTAAGCAGGTAAATAATATATTTCTGTTGATATGTAAATGTGAACATTAAAATAATTATACACTACTACCAATCTGATTTATTTTTATTGATTTTCTATTGATCTGTTGCAATTCTGAAGACTATAACACAGAGCATATAATTTTACTTTCACAAAGACACTCTCTTAATGATTTATTAAATGTGCCTTTATTTTTTTTAATTTCCATGGTAGGAATGATAATTTTTACAGAGTAAAAACATTTACAAAATCAGGGAGAGGGCTAAAATAGGCTGCGCCTGCTGCCCAATCCT